CGTCGCAGCCAAAAGCAGAGTGTACGACAGCAAGGGCCGGCTGCTGGCCAACGGCAAAGACATGTGCGACTGCCTGGATGTGGACTGCATGGGTTGCTTCTACCCCTGCCCCGAGTGTTGCTCCAGAAAGTGTGGTGTGGAGTGCCGCTGCGACCGAAAGTGGCTCTATGAGCAGGTAGAAGTGGAAGGTGGAGAAATCATTCGGAACAAATATGCAACTTAGCTACCATTGATGCCTTTTTTTGTTTTAAAATAAATAAAACTATCATTGATCTAGCATTGTTTCTAATGAACTTCAGCTTGTTGAAACATTTTCAGTGTGATACTTTGCATAAAAAAACAATGTAGCTGTTATTTAAAGGTGTTTTCTAATTATGCCACCATGTGTTAATAAACATTTTCTTTGTTTTTTTTTTGCAATGTTTTCACTGTTATTGTTTGGGATCACCATCTCCATCTGCCTTGCATTTACTTGAAATGATTTGTTCTCAAATCACAAAATGTGAAGGAACCCTTTAATTCTTTCATAGCCACAGTGATGTCTACGTTGCATTATAGAGACACCACATATATTGTTTTAGTCTCTTAACTTGTGCTCATAGTAATTTGCTTAACAGAACATTCACAATATGCTTATTTTTTTAAGATGATTTTTAACCAAAGTTTTTTACACATAAAAATAACTATTCCTTTTCATTTCCCTTCTCACTGACCCAAGGCAGCAAGGGACCAGTATGACACAGCAGTTTCAGCGCTGCAGCACTTCTACGAGTATCATTTTTCATTTATACACATTCTGCTGCCCTTGAGCATCAGCTGCAGGTGAAGTGTCACGAAGCCCAGGGGGGCATCACCTCATGACATTTCTGAAAGAAAATGGATAACCAGCTCTGAAATTCACCGTCCTACCGAGCTTGGAAGTAAATCTGAAGTCGAAATATTTCTTTTTAAATACCTTGTAAATAAAATAGAAGTTTGGGGGAGGAATGTGTGCAGTCAGCTTTCCATAAAATAACAGAACAGTGTTGCAGTTTTATTCATTGTTGCCTTTTATTACCTGCACCAAGTCCATTTTATAGCTCATCATACAGAGGCTACAAATAAATTAAGCTTATTAATATTTATAAGTGCTGAGGGCGAGTCGATGTAAACAAGTCATTCATCACAGCAACAGAAGTTTTGCTCCATACTGAGTAAACTTCCCGCCTTCTATCGGAACATTTGGGTGGTATATCAAGAGCTTATATAAAAATTCAGTTTGATGTTTATATTATTAAGTAATATGAAAAAAAAAATCCGAACAGAGGACATTAAATTATAATCTCCTGAATGTGATGGGGTCCTTCAGGTTATGTCCTTCCACACTTTGGCAACATTGCTTTAGGGATGTCACATGGACTCAAATAGCTTGTTAAATATGGCATGTGTTGTCATAACATCTGTTGACCTCTAAATCTGTCAGTGAACTGCAGTAATGTGTGACCTTTTACATAAAAAAATATCAGATTGAGTTTGTGTTATAGTGTTCAAGTAAGATATTTACCTATTATATGGGTTATGGCTTTTGAAACATAAAATATATAGCAAATATCATGACCTCATACTTTAATTAAATAAGGAGCACAATTTAGAATTTTCTTGGTAGATTTCTTCCAGCTGGGTGAAAATTATGCTGATGAGGTCAAAAAAGGCAAGTACTTGTTTCTTTTATATCACCGATATTTCTGACTGGCTTTCAGTCCAGAATTGAAAGCCTATGACTATGGGCTGCTTCTCTCTCTCTTTTTCTCTTTTTTTTTTTTACTCAGACATGGAATGATGACTGATATGCCTATGCCTTTATGTCTCATTTGTTCTCCAATTACTTTACCTAGGCACATGATGTTTGCTTTGTGAAATTTTGTAGCATTGTTGATTGTTACTGAACATCCTAACCAAGGTCTATCTTCTAAGGATGAAGGTGTCAATCAGAGTAAAATGTCAACATAATTTAGTCACACTAATTGACATCAAAGGAGCAAAGGAGAATACTTTACAAAAGCCCTCACAGGAATACTTAAAATGTTTTTGTCTCATAGATATCTGTCCTTATTTAGAGATCTGCAAACTAACAGCATCTATGTTCTTAAAAAATACATAGTCAACAACAACAACAACAAAAAAAAAAACAGCTGTTCTAAGTTGTTAAAAGTGGAAACTTTTAGGGGGGCTTCATCACACCTCGACTGCAAATCTGAGTTAATTACTCCCCTCTAGCAGAGACGACACAGCGACTGACCCGTGAAGAAAACTTGATAAAATATCTATTTAAACATAATAGCATAAACCTCCGAGGACCTGCTGGACATAATACAAATCGCCTATAACGAGACACTAACAACTTGAATACACATCAGCTTGTCAGCTAAAACTCAGCCTGCTGTGTTGCTCTCAGCTGGAGATGTGAGAGAAGATGCAATAAAAATCTGATACAAAAACCACTAACATCAGGGTAAACAAGTAAAAGATCCTTCTGGGTGTTCACTAAGATGATGAACTAATAGAACAATCACTTATTCGCAGCTTTTTTTTAAAACAATTTCTGATTTTATATCAAATCAAAAATAATTCAGGATTTTCAGCATTAGAAATGTTGGAAATGCTACAGAATCAGAGAAAGTAAACTTCATTCCTAATACCATTGATCTTTTTCTATTTGTGCTTTCAGCAATTGGCAGAAACCATGGGATTAATCTGGACGCCAGTGCTGATGCTTGTTGGTTTGTCAGCTGCTTATCTCTTCACTGGGACATCAGATTGGCTTGAAGTTTACTGTTGTGCCTCTGGCAGAACAACAACTCATTATACAGTAGTTTGGCATTCATTTAGAAGCAAGATTTATTTAATTTTTTCCCTAATTACAGAAACAGAGATTGATTTCTAAGTTAACCTCCAGGGCTTTGGATCAGTTCATTCAGTTTAACTGAAGCTGGATGCGGTGGATAGTAGCTGGATGGACAAATATTTAGAAATTATAGAGCTTTACATTCTCCTAATCTCTGCGCTCTGACTTCTTTTTTTTATATTTATTTTGCATTTATTTTTGCTGCCTTCAGGCTGTTTACATTGATGGAGAAACTGTTGATGTTGTTACACTAACACTGGGCAAAATAGTCCCTACCACAATTCCTTTTGGGAAACAGTCAATATCTATATCTGCTGAATTTCTCTTTGGCTTTGGTCAGAGTTTTACTTCAGGCTTTCTTCCTATAGTCTCACCTCCTTGTGTTTTCCAACTCGACACAACAAACTACAAACTTTCCAGCAATTTTGTCCTGACTTGGACTCCACTTCCATGCAAAAGCTAAATAAATTTGTTGTTGTTATTTCGATGTCTTAACCCTATGTCTTAGTTCACAGGTGTGACCTACCCTTTCCATTTTCAGGTGCTACTAATTATGTGACTTCTGTCAGAAATGCGTTGTACAAAATTTTATTTAGTCTTTCTGCATGTAATTCAGCTCCCTCTCTCAAGTTAAAATATTTATGTTTGGTTAGCTGGTCTCTCTAAATTTCCCTATGGTGTGTGTGTGTGTGCATAATTGTTTGTGTGTCTCAGTGTTGCCTTGTGACAGATACCATCCCCCTGCAACTGCATGGGGGATGATATCCAGCTAAATGGAGAAAATGTGTGAAGTCTCAATTCACACATTTTCCTGATTTTTATTAATACAATCAGCTTAAAAGTATGTCTCATTTTCAGTGCCCTGTGTTGAAACATCAAAACCTAATAAAATGTATTGAAGTTTGTGTTTACAATGTTACAAATTGTAAAAGGTTCAAGGAGAATGGCTTTTGTAAGACAGCATAGTTGTCTGACAAAATCATAGCTATCTCACAAACTGTGAGTGAGCAGGTGTTGTGAGCTGAGTGAGTACACCTGCTCACTGACAGTGAGCAGGTGTAATTGCAGGTGTAGATTTCACTCTAATCAACATGAGTGAAATCTTCCCCATCATACTAAATAAAAACAGATGATCCAAACCCTTTTAGAAAACAAACATATAAAATAAGCACTAAATATGTAGCCACACTAAATAGAAGATGTTAATGGGTGCCCTTGGCTATAAAGAAAAATCTGTTGTCATCTGTGTTTCATATGAATATTCAGCACATCCACCAAACTTTAAATATTACCAAAGTCTCTTATTGGAAGTGAAGAGTTAATCAAAAGTTTAAAACTCAAAAGTATTTATGATGTGCCACAACGAACTAGGAACGTTTCACAAGCAGAACAGAACATTTATTTTTTCGAAGTAAATTAAATGAACTCAATGCTGACACTTCAGAAACTCACTAATGCCTTACTATCAATTATCTCAAAAATGAAGTGGTCTACCAGACCATTCCATTATATAAAGGACCATTCGCTCACATTTGCTGAAATATGATTTTTTTTTTTTTAGAGCAGTAATAACTTGCTGTACCGTTAAGTTACATGACCTGAAAAGAAGCTTTTTCTGCAAAGCATAAAAATCTACCAAAGCGGTGTTGTATTCCAGGGAAGATCCAAATTCATTACAGAAATATATGTTTAGGGCTTACTAAGCTGTTTCTGCATTTAGCGGCACCCCTGGAGAAGAGCCAGTGAGGAACAGGGACTCCAGTGGAGCTTTTAGAAATACAGGCCGTATATTTTCATTTCCACCTGTCAAAAGAGGCAAGCCTTTTTTATTTTCCCTTCTGTGAACCATTTTGCCAGAATGAAAAACTGACCAGTAGAATTACGGCACTTTCAGGATTGGTCCCCTTGTTTGGGAGTAAAGGTGAAACCGATATGTGGACATTGAGTCTCTTACTTCTGATGATGATAAAGCACCAGGCCAGTCATTCTGGTTTAAGGCACTTTAAAACAATTGGTGTTCACAAAGAAAAAATAAACAGAAATATTAGCAGTATCTTTTTCAGTGTCAGACAAAAGGTACAATAATAAGTATGCGTTTCCTGACCAAAGGAGTAGTTTAACAGTTGGGTATGTCCATAAAAGCGGCTCTGTGTTCTGTGTTACATCTGGAACAGTCCGCAGTTTGTAGCCACAGGGTAAGTGATGCTTCCCGGACACCCCCTTCTATGTCTATCTTGCACCTCGTAGGACCAGTCTCCTTTGCAGATCGTTTGCACAGGCGCCACTTCAGGGTTTTCAAAGACAGGGTCCTGTTACCAAAACGAATTAAAGATTTGACTATATGAACACAATTCAGTGGGAAACACTGGTGGAAGATTTTTATTACATCATATTTAATAAAACCAGTATTTGCTTGTTTTCCAATAAACATTTTCACAATGAAAACGGGAGCTGACAGAGTTGAATTCAGCACAGTTTCAAAGACAAATAAGTCTCACCTTGATATGGTTTTGTTAGTGATTACGTGCAATTGGTTATCATAAATAACTCAGACAGTGTGAATCCTTTCTCACCTGGAAGTAGCACAGCCCTTCACAGATTGTGGTGTGGATGCACACCTCCTGATCACATCTCTTCATGAGGATGCTAACGTTTTTCAGGTTGCAGCTGAAGCATCCCTTCCCCAGGGCTAGCACCACCACCAGGACAACCAACTGCATCCTCCTCCAGGTGTAGCACAGATGTCTGCTGCAAGAGCAGTTCACTTCTTAGAATAGATATTCAACACTTTTTAAAAAAGTTTTTCAACCACTTTTATACAGTAATTTGATCAGCACAAAGCCCAAAAAAGGAAAAATAAACACCACTGGCCAGCACTATAAAACCATCTCAGCATAAGAAGCAGGAGACCGTACTCTGGTCTGGATCTTTTTCTCATTTCTCAGTGAACCAGACTGGGTCTATAGACTTGTGGTCTCACCACCAATCTTCACAGAAAGGCAATAAAAATTTGATTAAAATTATTGTTTGACAGTTTTAACTGTGAGTATAGGAGTGTGTTTGTCTGGCTCAGCCTGTTGGATATTTAACAGGTTTCCTACTTTGCATTACTACAAAAGTGAAGCAAACACACAAAAAAATTATTTTAAAGAAAATGAAAACATTGTAAGTTGGAGGAAAAGTGATACAATTATCCAGGACTGCTTTGGATATGACAAAAGCATAATAAAACTAAATTTCTGTTCCAGCATTTTGTTTTAGTGTGAAACCCTAAAATTATCTAACCACCCTCTAGAAAACTTTCAGGGCATTTCTCTGTGAATAAGATTTTTTTGTTGTTGTTTTGACTTCTTTTCAGGTTATTTAGTGACAAATTAAAAACATGAATGGCTTTAACAGAGATGATTACGTCATAAGTATCCAAGTCGTGTTTATTAACATAAAAAAAATTACAGAGCTTATTTGTTTGACTCTTTTTAAATATATTTGAAGATAGTAATTGCAGATATTTTTCTAGTGGTTTGAAGGAAAATGGTGACCAATATGTGCAAATCTGATTTCCGAATTAAAAATAAAAATTACATTTGCATGTTTTGTGTAAAATCTAATTATTTGTTAAACTTAAAACACGTAAAAATTTATTTTTTAAAATTATTTAGAACATAATTATTAGTTATTCTTAAATATTTAAAATAAATAATAGTAAAATAAGTATAAATAATATTTCTTCTACTGAAAGCAAACTGAATGTGAGAACATGTTTTTTTTTCTACAGATTATCCAGCAAAAACGTTGTACACTTGTTGGAAAATAAAGTTTTCTAAAATGAATTGCATAATTTAACCACATAAGCAATACATTTTTAAAGACATTTCATTCAATTTAAACCTCTTTAAACCAACATCTTACCTGTGAATCTCTTATTTGAAAATAAAAAGAAAATATCTTCTCCGTCACTCTTCATAGATCTGCAGCAGTTTGCCACTTGAAATCATCTCTGTCTTCTTAAATATTGCTGCTCCTAATCCTTCTAACCTTCTCAGTCTATCTCCTAATGCATCTTCTACCTGCTATGGCTAATCTTAAATCCACATCATTTTCCCCATCGACATGTCATGGATGCCATATGGTACAGGACCTTTGCTCCCACACACGGGGGGAAAAAATCTGTAATTTCAGAAGTGTTGTTTAGATTAGATTGATGGAAAGACTCAGATGGAGCACAGAAGCATTATAAGTCCTCTGCCCCCAAACTGCCATGGACAATGTTGATGTGCAGTATGCTGTACTCTACATCTATTGCTTGTTGTGGCATAGGTCTTGTCCATTTTCAGGATAAATGCACAATTTGTGTACCCTAAACAGACAATATGTAACCTGTGCAACAGTTTGTCCACTCTTATTTAGACTGGATGACTTATCTACCTTGATGGTTTCTATCTTGGAGCATGAACTTAAATTTTTATTTGGTCTGCAAAAGTACATTTTTTTTGTCAAATTTAGCTTTAGAAAATAAATTAATGCGATTTTGGGAAATCAACCACAGCTCTGATTACTCACCAATAGGGATAAATCTCTTCAACTTGTATTATTGATTATCCTATAGATTATTTTGATGATTAATCAATGATGATAAAAAAACTGACACATTTTGTCAGTTTTTCATTTAACAATTTCTCAAAAAATATTACAAATAGATTTAAAAATTCAAATAAATAATTCAATCTACATGTTTCTTTTTAACAGTTTGGCTTATTTACTGCTCTGAGTATGTTGTTCTTTCAACAAATGGTCTTATTTTGAGTCTGAATAAGAACCATATGCTGTGGGACATTCTCATAAATAAACTTCTAAGTTACATTATTGCAGTTTGGTCTTCGTTAGTGAGCCTTTTGGACAATTTCTGTAAATCTATGTTCCTTATTAATTACAGTCCTGGACACAAGGAATCAGAATACCCTATATTATACTATTTTGATGTCTGTACTTTAGTTTTGACTCATTTTAAAACTGCAGCCTGAGGTGGACAGTCCACAATGACAGTAAAGCACTTCTTTGGCAAGGCGTCACGCTTCATCCAGCAGTGCCTTAGTCTGTCTTTGCAGCCACAAGGGAGTTTATTTCTTCACCATCCTGCAGAACTGCCACACCTGTCTAACAAGACTACAAGGACTTTTAAAATGTCACCCTGGTCCTCTGAAGTGTTGCTTTCTCCAGTGAACCTCAGATATGTATCATTGTTAGTATCCATTCTGTTTTTAATGAGCACCAGACATAGTTGATTAATTCTGTAGTCAGAGTAGGACACCTAATTTGCCATTTTCTAAACAGTTTACACAACAGCTGGGAATTTCTCTTTTTATGTCTGTATCTTTACTGAAAATATGCCTCATTAAGTCTGCAAACACACATCTGGTACAATCACACACTCATCACACGAACAGCTTTTTTTAAATATTCGACCCAGAACTCTGAAAGGGCAGAAAAGGCATTCAAGTTTATGTCAACACTGTAGTCCCAAAAATAGCCAAGTCCACCTGCAGCAAGAACAGAAACACACAAAAATCCATTGCAGGGCTGGTTAGGATGTTTTTTTTCTCTTTCCAACAGCAAAAAGAAGATGGTTTGTTCTGTAATGTCACATTCTTGTCCATGAGGAATAAATTTATATGTAATGGATAAGGTGACGGTTTGTGGGCTCAGGAAGATTTTCTGGTTCGTATCTCTGAGCAGTACAATGAAATATAAAGCTCCTCTGGGTGTAAAAAAACTCATGTGAGCTGTATATGAAGAGATATAAAAGAGCTCTAAGCTGAACAAGTTGCTGACTTCAGGAATTCAAGTCACAGGTTAATGCTTGAGCGCTTTGGAACAGAGTCGTCTTGGTTTTTGTGAGCTCAGCGTAATCACTGTCCTGACAGGACTAACAATATTCACAACCCCACTTGGTCACAACCAGATTGTTTTTCTGCAGAAACTTTGCCCTATTGGAGCAGATTCCTCCCCCACCCCCGATCACATCAGAGACAGAAAAACAACCTCTCTGGTTTTGTGATGAAGCGGAAGCCTTCATCTCGAGGATCACCCACACTAATCTCTACAAACAAACGCCTCTACAACCTGTTTAAGGTCAAGGATTTTGTTATGTGACTTGGATTCATGTTTCCATGTGAACTGACTGAGAGGCATAGTTGTAGGAAATATTCAAAGTGACAGCTCCCTATTAACCTCTGAGGAATACAATGCCTTGCAAAAATATACATACCCACTGAAACATTTTTTTTAATATTAAGTTATTTATACATTATTTTTTGGTGAGGAGAAAAGCATCAAATCAACATGTAGGGGTAAACTGAAAGATGTAGGATGCTTTTGTATTTAACCACGTTTACTCTGATGGCCCTTAATAAAATCTAGTTCAGTCAATTGTGTTCAGAAGTCACCTTGGTGACTTCTGAAATGTGCAGATCTAAAGTCAGTCCAAAGTCTGTGGCAAGGCTTAAAAACTGATGCTTATAGAGACTCCCCAACCAGAGTGAAGGGTACTTTTTGTTCCTTTTACAAAAAGTCCTCTATGTAGATGAATAAAGTTGGTGGAGTGTTGATTAAGGAAGACAGAAGATGTATGAAGGCCACGATTGTTTTTTGTTTTTTTTTATTTCAAAGGAGATTTTTCTTCTATTGCATAAAAAAGGTAAAGATGTGGAAGGGGTATGAATACTTTTTTCCAAAAGACTATGTATTATTTCTTTTTAGTTACTTGAACCTCTCTTAATTTCTCCTTCCGTACTATGTCAATCAATCAATCAATCAATCAAATTTTATTTGTATAGCACATTTCAGCAGCAAGGCATTTCAAAGTGCTTTACATCAAAAACACAAAACACAAAGTAATACTATTTGACAAGGACTCCAACCTACAAAAAAAAAAAAAAAAAAAAAGGGGGGGGGGCTCTAAAAATACCTCTCTTGTAGATTTGTAGATTTTAGTTGAGACAACAGGGATTCTACACCCTCTGGGACTTTAGTCAAGTTGTTCCGACAAGGACTCCCAACCTGTTTAGCTGATAAACATCAACTGGGCCTTTAACCCGTTTAGTCAAAATACTATTTGACAAGGACTTTAACCTTTTTAGCTGATAAACATCAACTGGGACTTTAACCCGTTTAGTCAAAATACTATTTGACAAGGACTTTAACCTTTTTAGCTGATAAACATCAACTGGGACTTTAACCCGTTTAGTCAAAATACTATTTGACAAGGACTTTAACCTTTTAGCTGATAAACATCAACTGGGACTTTAACCCGTTTAGTCAAAATACTATTTGACAAGGACTTTAACCTTTTTAGCTGATAAACATCAACTGGGACTTTAACCCGTTTAGTCAAAATACTATTTGACAAGGACTTTAACCGTTTTGGCTGATAAACAACATAAAAAGTTGTAAATAGGAAATCATCATCATTTGAAAAAAAGGCTTGGAGACATCAGTTGGACTGTGATTAATCCATATAATATGTTTAATTTAACCAAGTAACAGAAACAAGCATTACTTTAATTCCCAAACTTTGTTTAGGATATCTGTACAACCTATTTATTATATGCAGCAACATTTCTAAATAAAACTTGATTAAATTATTTAGGGAAGATGAGAGTTTTTTTTTCATATTTTATATTTTTGTGTTCAGCCCATATTTCTCTTCCTTTTATTCATTTTAGACGTAGACTTTTACAGTTTCTTCTCAGAAAAGATCAGAATCTGGGTCAAACCTAAATTTTCAAACTGCTAGATAAACTAATTAAGTTTCATATTGTAATCATGTTAATAAGTTACATTAGGCATTCTGCTGAGACTGGTTTGTCAAATTAAATGTAAAGTCTTTAAATAAGTATTTTAAAAAATCTGTAAGCCCACATTTCTGTATTGAACATGTTTTTTTTTTTATTGTTTCTCATGAATTCTAATATTTTCATAAGTTGTAAATAGGAAATCATCATCATTTGAAAAAAAAGCTTGGAGACATCAGTTGGACTGTGATTAATCCATATAATGTGTTTAATTTAACCAAGTAACAGAAATAAATTACCCCTTCGATAACATTTTAATTTATTGAGTATAGTTCAACCATCAGTATCTATCTTTCATTCAAAGCAATTTCTTTAGTGTTTACCATCCATAAAAGTCCAACATTGTCCCTGGGATTTATTTTGGAAATACTAACAATGATATATTGCCTTCAAATTGGGAAAACTGTCACAGTCAGCCTTTACTCAGCAGTTACAATTACATTATACAATTGCATTTTTATAGTACAGTATTTATCAATCCCTCTCACAATTAGGACAATTCCTAATTTATTGAAAAAAAGGAATTAATTCTACACCATTTAAAATGTTTCTCAAATGTGGGATTTGTGTGTGGAAAGGCATTTTCTATATTACTTAAATAAAAAATGCAAGCTACACATTACAATATTATAAGATGATTCCTTGAGTTGGATTTGTTCACTGCATACAAGCTTTGATCTGTTGCAGCTCTGACTTCTGTTTAAAATGCATCTTAACCCTTGTATAATAAAACACCTCGTATCTCCACTTCATCTCACCTTATTACTAGCCTCACAACTCCCCCTGCTGCTGACTGAGGTGGATGCTCAATGAAGTGCAAGAAGTGAGGTTGCATGATGAATGTCAGGTGGGTGGAAGGTTGCCTACATGTTGTGCATACAAGAAAAGAACTCCTCTGATATATTAGGTGAGTTTGTGAAAGACAGAGACTGTGGAGACGAGCTTCTTAGAGACACTGATATTCGCACCGTCAGCGGTACTATTACCAAAGTATGCTGTGCCTTGGCATAAAATTTTACAATTTGTTTCAGATATCTTTTTAGCTAAAAGATGCAAAGACTGGGTTTCTTTCTGAACAGGCAAGCACCCAAAAATACCCCTGCGGGAATATTACAACCACAGATTTACTACATACCCTCAGGAGAAGATTAGAATCCCTTAGAGGAATATTGTTTCTGGAATAACAGGCAGTTCTGTCCTAATTAGAGTTTTTGATTCAAATGAATCAGATGGGTAGAGGTGAATTGCTATGGCTAATGATTGTTGTGTATTCCAGCAGCAGGCCTGAGGGGTCCTGCAGAGAGAAAAAAAAACTAATTATCTGAGCAATCAGATTCAAAGTAGTAGGCTTAAAATGTACAATGAATTACACCTTTACTCCACCATAGCCCAATGGGGTCCAAAGAAATCTATTGTGACAATCAGGGGGGCAATCATTAAGAAGGACTCTTGTTACTTTACCTGCTAATATACTACTTTATACTTGCAAATCTCTAAACAATTATATTGTTTATTTAATATCTTAATTTTTTTTTCAACAAAGCTCTAATCTTGCTTTGGACCAAATATGACCACATTAATGATACTCACTATACCACTATATCAGTATTTGAATCCTTAATTGCTTTTCAACAGTAGAACAAGAATTGACTAATTAATACCAAATTGCAGTAATTTGTTAGACTGACAGTTGTGTTACAATCGTCAAGCAGGTGGATATGTCAAACAAATCCATTTAATTCAGGTCGCTTTTCTTTAACTGATAAGGGAATTAGTAGCAGTTCTTTCCTTGCACCATAATTCCTCAAATGATTCAAATATTTCTAGAGTGCACTGTAATTCAAAGCTTGCTTCTGTCCAGGGGACAAACATGGCTTTTATTGGTTGTTGGGTTTTGATCAGGGTAGTTGGAATTATGATCATGACAACACAAATGTCCAGTTTTGTCTGTTTTCTTCATCATAAATATGCCAATTTTGTTTGCTTTTGAAAAATTAAAGCTTAAATATGTGCTGCAGAACTATTTCTACCCCTGGGACATTTTCACATGGTGAAATGTATCAACCAGACTTCAGTGTGGTACAGTGGATTTTTATGTGAAAGACCAACACAATGTAGGACATCATTTTCAAAAATATTTTTTAAATAACAAAAACAAAACAAAACAAAACAAACTTGAAAAGCATGGTCAGATGTACTATTCTGTGTCCCTTTACTTGGATACCTCAAATATAATGTAGTCCAACTTTGTAATTTTAATTTGACAAAGGGCAAAAAAGCTTAGGTTGCATGAATATTATTATACTACTATATTTTCACTTTTGGAATGATTGTAACCTATAGCACCTTTTCTTTGACTGCCATTGTGTGTCTGGCAAGAACATTATTACCAACATTATGTAGTATTTTTTTAAGTTGCATGCACAAAAAAGAAAATTATGACCAATTAAATTATGAAAGGAGGATTTGAATTTTCACAAATACCAACTGAGTAATTTCACTTTCTAAACAGGTGATATTCCCATTAGAGTGCTCTATTAATTATACACCAGAGGGAGGGAGAAACAGTGGGCAGTAATAGTGTTTACTCCCAGAAGTAATGTTAATGTATGCAAAGAGTTTTAAAGCTTTAAAACATGAAGATAACCTTCACTGAGATTATTATGAAAATACAACATGCATAACAAATGTGAATTTAAGAATATTAACACATTTTAATGACAAAACAGCCCAGGAAAGAGATAAAATAATTGTTTAAATTCAATTTAAAAAAAAAAGCAATGCAACCAAGTTGCTGTGTATCTGTAACCAGGTTGATGTGGATGACAGACTGCTGTCCAGGTCCCTCTTGAAAGTGAGATCCAGATCTCAACGGGGTTTACCTGGCTAAATAAAGGAAATAAAAATAAAAACTTTGAGATATTACAAATAATTTCTAAATATGTTACTTAGTAACCTGCCTTCATAAACACTGAATAAGACTTTTCATACGTTGATGCAGAACCCCTTTGTGGCAAAGCACAAGTCACTTGATTCACCCTTCAAATTTCACACTGTCTCTTATTATTTTACAAGTGTTGGCAGTTTTATTGATAACTGCTTTGATTATTATTTTGTTTTCATATATTATCTACACTTATTATTTTACATTTAGATTTTTTATTATTATTGTGTTATTTTAAAGTGGTTTCTTAAATAATTAAAGACCAATTTGGAAGAATGTATGTGTGCTGGATCAAAACAAATAGCCTACTGTAAAAAAAAAAAAAAAGAAAAATGAAATGCACACGCTAAACTGACAAAAAAAAAAATCTAACTGATGCCTGGGAAATGAAGGCGCATTTTTATTGAAGAGTGTGCGTTGTACTCTATAATCTTATTTCGTAGGGATGATCCCAAAGTAACGCATAAGGTTTTTACAGAGAAGACACCGGTTGCGACCTGATCAAGGACAGAGCAGGCTGTGAGACTGCAGCACGGTGCGCAGTGACCGGATGCATCCACTGGGGGAGGACCGAGCTCCGCCTGCATGCGCTGCGGTACATGAACGACTTTCTCACTAAGACTCTCCATCATCACACACAATGGGAGGGATACAGGAGTAGGCTATAGGTAGGGCGACAGCGGCAGACAGACAGATGTGTGATGCTCAGACTCAACCATGGGGTCATTTACCCTCGCCTGTGCCAATGGAAACTTTTACCCACCCTCCTTTCTATTCGCCGCTATCGAGTGGAACTGTCTTTGATGCCAACTCGCTGTGGCACACCTGCTTTTGCTTTTTTCTTTTTTTCTTGATTGGTGTTGCCGGTACACCAGGAGCGATGCAGCACCAACGGGGGCTGAAGTGCCAGTAGATCCTGTTGAATTGAGGCACGGCGTCGAGGCGCAGCCAAAAAAAAAAAAAAAAAAAAAAAAAGTGTCCTTCTCGGAGTGCGTCAGAGCACGGATGTATATGCTGGATGTGGATGTGGATACGGTTGCCCGCCGGATACGACGAGGGATTTGTGATATTACACCCCAAAATCAAGAGGAGGATTTGAGCACAAACGGAGAGCTGCATCCTCACCCAGCATTCCTCCGCCTCTTCCTCTTCCAGCAGATTTGTTTGTAGGGGTGACAGAGGCGATTTCTTTTGACCCCCCTTTTAAATGTAAGTAAGGATCAAAGAATGATAGGCTACTTTAATAACATAATTTCGTGTGCACTGTTATAATAATAATAATAATAATAATAATAATAATAATAATAATAATAATAATAATAATAATAATAATAATAATAATAATAATAATAATAAAGCTGTGAAGACGCGTAATATGAGTAGCATCGTGGTCAATGTATTCACAAAAACAACTGACGTTACCATAAACGCATCCCCCTTTTTTACATAGACCAATTTGTGTTTTCTCTTTTTCTTTTTCTCGCAGCTCCTGAGCGCATCGGAGGAACAAGTCATTCAGATTCGTCGGAGCTCCAAAACATAAGAGCGAAGACCCATACAATCTCATCTCATAAAATGGCAACCATGGGCGACAACTGAGGATCAAAAGATGCTTTTTGGGGCTGAGAAATTAACCACCTGATGGGCACCAGAGAAGCCGAAGAAAGACTGTTTGGGTGTCGCTTGTTGACTCGGTGATTTATCATGCTGAGCATAAAAGGGGCGCTGCAAGTTTGACACAGCGTCTGCGTAACAGGCTATGCCACCGGCCCTGGTGTTTTTTGGTTATGGTAATGATGTCATAAAATAGCCTATATATACTGGGCGCAACAAGATATGCTCGTAAATGTTTTTTTTTTCTTTCTTTTTTTTATCATGTAAGAAGCAACGGGGACTCCAGCCAACATGGACCTTACTGAGAGGTGTGTTTGTTAATCTGACTTTCTAAACGATTGATGCCTCAGTCTCTCTGTGTTTGCGCGACAGAGCTGCAACTTTTATCCTCTGGTCTGCATCCCTCTTGACGAGGGTTCTGTAGCGTTCGCGGATCGAACCTTTACAAAAATGGAGTTTGCCATGGTGGGTGCGGACGGCGGGTGCAACAGTCACCTGCCGTATGGATATGCCCAAGCCCGCGCGCGTGAGAGGGAGCGCGAGAGGGAGCGCCAGGCTGCCCAGATGAGAGCGGCCGCGGCGGCCGCGGCTGCAGCAACCGACGGTGGCTCCGGTGCGGAGGGAGGTGCGGGGGGCCCCACCTCCGCCACCTCCTCGGGCGCTCATCTCCTTAACAACCGCCAACATCAGTCTCGCGCCGCCTCCTCCTCCGCTAACATCAGCAGCAGCGGCGCCGCCTCGCGCCCCTCCTCCTCCTCCACCTCCTCGCAGCAGGAGCCCGAACAGCAACAGCAGCACAGAGTTCTCAGAGAGCGGAAAAAGCAGCGCGGCGTCGGTCGGTGGAGGCGCAACCGGAGTACTCTCGGAGGGGACTTGCGCCACTCGGAGCTGGCGCTGCTCGGATCTGAGGAGGACATCATGATAGAGGAGGAAGAGGCCGAGGGAGCGGAGGAAGAGGAGGAGGAGGAGGTGGAGGGGGAGAGGCGGCGGAGGGCGGCCGAGGGAGCAAGAGGTCGAGCTTTCTGTGCAACATGGATGATGAGGAGGAGACCGTGTCTATCACCGACAGGCGTCCCCAGTCCGGATACGAGAACGTTTACAGCGAGTGCGGCTGCTGTGAGAGGGTCGTCATCAACGTATCGGGGCTGAAGTTTGAAACTCAGCTGAAGACGCTCACTCAGTTCCCGGACACCCTCCTGGGAGACCCCGACAAGCGAATCAGGTACTTTGACCCGCTGAGGAATGAATACTTCTTCGACAGGAACCGGCCGAGTTTTGACGCCATTCTTTACTATTACCAGTCAGGAGGGCGGTTAAAAAGACCTGTCAACGTCCCGTTTGACATCTTTTCCGAGGAGGTCAAGTTTTATGAACTCGGCGAGGAGGCCATACTGAAGTTTCGGGAGGATGAGGGGTTTGTGAAGGAGGAGGAGAAACCTCTGCCGGAGGACGAGTTCAAGCGCCAGATTTGGCTCCTTTTTGAGTATCCAGAGAGTTCGAGTCCTGCCAGGGGCATAGCGGTGGTGTCTGTCCTGGTCATAGTCATTTCTATTGTTATTTTCTGTCTGGAGACGCTGCCCGAGTTCAGGGATGAAAAAGAGTATCTGCAGCCACGCCAGAACTCCTCTCAGCCTGACCACGGATTTACACCCTTCAACGACCCGTTTTTCATCGTGGAGACGGTCTGCATCATCTGGTTCTCCTTTGAGATTATAGTTCGTTTTTTTGCGAGTCCAAGCAAGACAGCGTTCTTTAAAAACATAATGAACTCCATAGATATCGTGTCCATTTTGCCTTACTTCATAACCCTCGGCACGGACCTGGCGCAGCACCAGGGCAACGGGCAGCAGGCGATGAGCTTCGCCATCCTAAGAATAATCCGCCTGGTCAGGGTGTTCCGCATCTTCAAATTATCCAGACACTCCAAGGGGCTGCAGATCCTGGGGCATACCTTGCGCGCCAGCATGCGGGAGCTGGCCCTCCTCATTTTTTTTCTGGTAATAGGCGTCATCCTGTTCTCCAGCGCGGTGTACTTCGCCGAGGCGGACGAGCCCACCTCGCAGTTCACGAGCATCCCCGACGCTTTCTGGTGGGCCGTGGTTACCATGACCACGGTGGGCTACGGCGACATGAAGCCAATCACTGTCGGTGGGAAGATAGTGGGCTCCCTTTGCGCGATCGCGGGCGTGTTGACCATCGCGCTCCCGGTGCCCGTTATAGTGTCCAACTTTAACTACTTTTATCACCGGGAGACGGACAACGAGGACCAGTCACCCGTGGTGGAGAGCATGCCGCCGGGCTGCCCGTACTTCCCGGACTTTCTTAGGAAGTTTAAAGGCTCGCCGTCTGGCTCCTCGCTGGGTGACAAAGGGGAGTACATGGAGATGGAGGAGGGGGTGACGGAGTCGCTCTGCGGGTTGGACAAAAGCCCCAGTAAAGGAAATGGCACAGACATAAGCAGAAAAAACAGCACTAACTCGAAATCAATTCAGACTGACGTGTGACTAAGAGTTTTATTTTATTATTTTCTAAACAAGATACACATCCGATAAAAGACTCGTTCTGCCCAACAGCAGCTGAATCATAACCCCCCAATAGGTCTATATAGGTTTTCCGCACCTCAGAGACCCCTCACACACACACATTCACACTCATAGGCCACCAATTGGGACCTTAATAGCATCCATGCCTAAATTTGCCTGATAGACACAGATATATCCGTTTATCCAGTGTGGGCTTCCAAATCTGACATGGAATCTGAATTAGACAACAGGCTATGCATTCGCACTTTATGACTTTCATCTGTCACATCACAAGGGTAGGGACGGTTGTTTTTTGCTGTTATGCAATAAAGTTAAAATTTGTTTGCACTATAACGTAGAATTTGCGCTGGGTTAGAGACAGTAACTGTAGGCCATTCAGATAGCAACATTGTAGTCATCCTCTGCTCACCTGGATACAGAATGTATGAGTAGAGAAAAGAGGAAACTATTTGACTTAGTCTGCCAGAAAACAAAAATATAAAACTGAGCTCTATTTACATAAGAAGCCTAAGAAAGAATACTTTCATCTTTGTTCATTTAAAATACTCAAACAAAAATGACCTACACATTGATGAGATACGTTATAACGTAGGCCATTAAATAAACCAGGGCTATGCTGAAATAAGCTTTTCCATAAGAGGCCAATAATAATAATAATAATAATAATAATAATAAAAGACCCACAATGAGAGCTAAGCACAGGTGTCATCATTGTTTAAAATGGCTGAAGAAGTCACCCAGCCCAGGTTTTCTGTGAACACTTGTAAAGCCTCGGCTGCAACATTTTTTTTTTTCATTTCAAAAGCACCTCAAAATGACAATATCCCTTTACAAAGATGAATATGGAAAGTTACAGCGTAAAAGACTCTGACATGGGAACTCTAAAAGGAGAGATTATGAGCAATTTTCTCGCCTTTCTGCTGGACTCAGTGCACAAAACGGTATATATATGTTTATATATATACCTGTATTTTTTTTTTTGCTCAAGAGAACTTTGATTATCTCCGAGCACAGAAGATAATCAGGATGTGGATGTCTTCCAAGGTATGTAGTGTTCAATTTCTGTGTAAAGATAACTTTTACTGAATTGTGACTGTGGGTTTTTGGTGTAGGTAATCACAATTGTGGCTCATTGCCCAGGGTGGCACAGTCCTGGGAAGGCACACGTAAGCAGTATTACACGTATCTGGTAGTTTTGAATCAAACACGCTTATTGCCATTCAATCCACAGAGAGTAAGCTCTCACTCTATTGTACCCTTTATAAGTAGTGTAAAAAATGTGGTCCTATACAGTAGATGGATAAAAAAAACTGAAGTTAGAATCTGATTCCTACATCCCATTTTGATGTTAAACTAAAGAACTGCAGTTAGTTTTTAAGGAGCATAGCTTAACACCTTAATGTTTAATATATCTCATCTGTATTCTGAAAGACAAATACTGGATTATAAAGGTACAGATGAGACTATGTTTAAAAGAGATCCTGAAGAGCCTGGACTCATTTTTCTGCCATTATTAGTTAATGGTTCTCTTTTACAACATGCAGGGATCTAATTATATTTGATCAATTAATAACAGCTGCCATTATCTCATTCCTGGACCTGACATCAGGTCAGCCTCCTCATAACTTGTGCCAAATGTTTTTGGACAGGTTCCAGCTAAAAAGTTTTGCACTTTTGTACAATCACTTTTTTATTTTACTTTTAATTAAACTCAATAGGATATTGAATGTGATTATTTTTGTATAACTCTTGATATGGTGCTGAAGTAGTCCAGAGTGTTCTTCCTTTCCCTACTAGACAGTTCAGACATAAAACGCTTATTTATAAGACTTGTCAGGTCTCAGCTTTCTAGTTCTTTTCCTGCATGCATTTTCACTCCAAACAGCAGATGTAGTAGGAGGAAACTGTAACATGAGGATCTGGTGTGTAGCACTCATAATAAGTCCAATAAATTAACTTTTATGATCTCAGTGTTTTAGTAAAGCTGTCTTGCATACTCAATCTAACCATGTCTAAAAGGTTAAAGCTTTGGACCAGGGAGAGGTGTGCTTTGGATGTGTAATGGTTGCAGTTGTGTTTGTGTTGAGCAGCATTTGGCAGAAGAAAGATGGCTTTACAACCAGAGGAAAATTTCACTCTGTTTACTCTAAATCTCTCAGTTAAGAGTGTACAGAGGAGCAGTACTCCATGACATCAGCTAGTTTGAAAGCTGAATATGCCTCTTAGACAAAGTGGAAAGTTTTCAGCCTTCAGTGCAGTTTATTCTCAGGATGAACTCAGTCCTGGCCAGACATTTACATTCACTGATCATCAGCACATGTGGATGTCATGTTAAATTTGAGTAAATTACTTTTATTTATTATGAAGACAAGAATTGGGTGCACAATTACAAATGTCTTACAGTGCATCTGGAAAGTATTCACAGCGCTTCACTTTTTTCACATGTTATGTTACAGCTATATTACAAATTGTATTAATTAATCTTTTTCTTCAAAAGTCCACACACAAATATGAGGAAAGGTTTGTGAGACATTTGTAAATTTATTAAAACAGAAGACCAAGAAATCTTGTTTATGTAAGTAAGCACAGCCTTTTCTCAATACTTTGTTCATCCACGATTGGCTGAAATTACAGCTTCAAGTCTGCTTGAATATGATGCCTCTAGCTGAGCTCACCTATCTATAGGCAGCTTCCCCCATTTTTCTATGTAGTACTTCTCAAACTTCATTAGGTTGGAAGATATCTGTCAACCACCTTTTAGATCTCACTAGAGAAGTTTACTCCAGGACATTCAGAGTGTTTCTGAAGCCATTCCTTTGAGATCTTGACCAAATGCTGTGGGTCACTTTCTTGCTGAAAAATGAGCTGTTGCCCCAGTCTGAGGTCAAGATGCTGTTGAGCCGGTTTCCAGCCATGTTTCTCTATACATTGCTGCATTAATCTTTCCCTCCGATGCTAGCACCAGGCTTCACTGTAGGGAAGGGCAGATTGTTTGAACCTGAAGAAAATTGGATTTCAGTGTCATAATAGTACTAAATAGACAAGAAAACATTTTCTGGTTAGGACAAAGAAGGCTGTCATTAAGCCTATGGAATTGCCCCAACTGTGTAAAAGTTAAGTGTGTAGTAGGAAAGAGCTTACTTCTAAGATGTAAGATGCTAATTCTAATTTTCTAATTATAACAAAAAAGTTATTTAAACATCAAATCCAATCATTTGCTTTTGACCATAAATAATTAACTTTTTAAAGCGGCACAGCCAGAGTTCGTACTTAAATTTGAATGAAAATCTGAAGGTGGCCAGAGATTTAGGTGATGGTAAGAAATAATTTTAACCACAAATATGCCATGCCCATCTACAAAAATGAATGATCAAAACATCAGTTTTTAAGAAATTGATTTGACTGCTGCAGGCCAAAAAATGCCTTTGAATAAAAACAGAAAAAGTGTTCTTCCATAACTGATGCCCCTTTCACATTGCTTTGTTACCCATTTAGAGATCTTTACCTCATTTCTTATCAGAAACAAACCTCTTGGTAAATCCATTACTGTGAATTTGCTATAAAAATTACATACTCCAGTGTTATTCATACAGCACCAGAATATTTACATACCCACTTGATTTCCAACTTAACTTCTAATTTAACAGACTGATTCAGCCATCACACATTACATCAGCGCATCTCACAACACAATCACAGCACCGGTGGATAATAATTTGTTGCATAGCTTATATCCTCGGAGGAGCTATTCATACAAGATATTTTTAACACCTACACCCACATCCAAACATCCACAGCACCATGCTGGCACCCAGCCAGCTCCTGACATCTCACACTCTGCACTTACATAATGTGGCTTACAGCAAAAGGCACAATCCAAAACATTTTTCAGCAAAGTGTGTGTGGGTCAGGCATATTCTAAGGCTTGTGGCTGCTGAGCTGACTGTGAAAACAGCCTGTATCATCTTCAGCCACGGAGGCACTGTGAATCCTACTGTCACGTGCAGGCTGATTGTTTGTTGTGCAGATACCAACCATATGGCTTGGCTACGTAAAGAGAAAATCTGAGGTACTTATGGGTATTTCTGCAAAGATATGTCGAGGACGTAGAGAAGAAGACGAAATAAATCAGCTGTTGAGAATGTCAGACTAGATTATGTAACAATAGGGCAGAGTCCAAATTAGTCTGGCTGGGCAACAGAAAGTTAAATGGCAGTTCTGCTAATCAGATAATAGTCAGAGACAATTTATCTGTAATTTTGAGCTGGTCAGATGGATTTACATGTTTTATTGAAAGTAGAAGAAACTGACCTGGATTTTTCCACAAAACACACAACTCTAGGTTGTATCAGTACATCTGTAAGAAGTTCTGGTCATTGATAAATGTATACTTTCTAGTTCTCTGCCAGGAATCTCATCCTGTAGAACAAAGTGTTTGTAACACATGTAACCAAAGTCATAGAGAAGTCAGTAACTGTGCAGTTTCTGTGTTATGTGAGCTTGATTTTATTAATTACAAATATATTTTATATGATCCAACTACAAGTGAAACACTGATCAGGCTGTTGTAAGCCTTTTTTCACATTACTGTGCTTCAATAAAAAACAAAACAGTCCAATAAAAAACAAAACAGTCCAATGTTCATTATAATATTGTACTGGGATTTGTCATTTTATATATTTATAGTTTTATACATTTGTCAATATAAGGACTTCTTAATTTAGTTTTAGTCCAAATATTTTAGTTACCCATCGTCATTTTTGTTTTGGCAGACAAAATTTTACTGCATTTTAGCATAATGCTCTCACACCTTTCAGAAAAATAATTTATTGAAATATTTATCCTTGGGCAAAAAAATTTTTTTTTTAAGTTAGTTGATTTTATTTATTTTTTATTTTTGCAATATTATACTATGAAAAAATGATTAGGATATGCTTTTCAAAATGACTTCCAAAAACAGTAATTCTAAATAACGCACATTGTACTCAAACTTGAACAAATAAATATGCAAAAAAAAATTGTGATAACAGGGCAACATTCTAATGCTTTAAGTTAACTTTTAGCATTTTTTTAAAAACAAAAAATTCTATTTTAAAAATGTGTACATAAAATAAAATTAGGTGTTTGGTGTTTGGAAATAAATATAAATATGAAGCATTACCTTTTTTGCTCCAATTACTAATTTGCTGCCCAATATTTAAGCAACTTCAATTTACAAACACTTTAAATGATTAAATGATATGAATTGAATAAAAATGTAACAAACATTTCTCAAACAATGCCACAATTAGAAAGTATAACCACTCTTGTGGAAAAAAAAAACACTTTACAAACAGCAAAGAATATTGCTGTTTGTAAATCTATGCCGATCAACAACCTCCTGGGCACTGGACTGTCTCATTTAGAATTTTTGGACTTCAGATTCATGTTTTTCAGCTCAGCAGCTTCTTTTATATTTATTTAAATATTTCTGGATTTTTTTTATATTTAAATCAGGTAATTAGAAAATGATCCCAATAACACTACTTGGTATTAAATTGTAGTGAAGCTACTAAAACCTGATGGTTTTCAACAACTCCGCTGTCAGCTGAAACACATAAAGCCGATTTCGGTTTCATGCAGTTCAAAAGACAGGGGAGCTGCTGTTTGCTTCCAGCTGCTCCTCCTACAATCACAGTAATGCAATATCTTTCAGTAGGTAGCTTTGTAAAACACAGAACCTCAGGTTATATGTTAATTAAAGCAAACTTACCTACGAACTGATTTCAGGATGGCTTGTCACCAGACGTTGCTTCAAGTTTGTTGTGTTGGTGACACTTGTTGCGTCATATACCTTGCAAAATATGTTTGTTTTGCCCTGTGAAACATTCAGTCCAGAAATGTGCGACCACCTCCTCGGCTCCACCATAATATTTCACCCTAAGTTTTCTGTTTTTTAATTTATTGTATCGATTTTTCTAAAAAGCATCAGTCTGAAAAAAGAGAAAATTATGCTGAATATCATTTTTCAACAAAAAAGTTTTTAGAGTATAAAACAGAGCTGTCTGCTGCAGGACATTTTTTACCATCCACACATCAATTCAGAT